CTGCGAGCTCGGCTCTAACTGTTCTTGCCTCCTTCCAGCCGCGGTCGAGCGCTCCGGTGAGTACCTCGATCCTGTTGCTGTGTTTGTTGTGGAGTTCTGCCCACCCCGCCCCGTCTGTGTTGTGCTCGTGGCTGTGGGTTTTGCCGTGAATTAATCCGTGAGGGAGCTAAGCCGTGTTCTGTAGGGCCAGGGAGGGGATCAGGGAGAGCTTCCAGTGGCACTCACGTGGTGCCTCGGCTCGGGGCCAGCCCTGCTCCCTGTGGCCAGGGATTCGCTTCTGCCTGCGGCTGCTGCTGCTCCGGGGGGGTTTGGGGCAGCCTTGGCTTCCTTCCTGGATCCCCTTGCCGGGGGGATTGGTCAGCCTGGCTCTCCGGAGCTGATTTTACACCCTGTCAGTTCTCAGAGTGTCCCACCTTCCGAGGGTACGTGTGTGTCCTCTTTCCCACTTGGATTTCAGCTTCCTGCACACTTCACCCTGGAACGCAGCATTCCTTCCCGGGATTAACTGGGAATGTCTGCAGCTGGGTGGGAGCTGGTCCCAGGCCTGCTCTGGAAGTGTCAGAGCCCTTCAGCTCTTCCCTCCTGTGAGGAGGAGCGCTCCCCTCCCACCTGAAATGTGACCACAGCTGAGGAATGGGCTCTGATCCCACAGCTGGATAATCTGGGAACTTCTGAGCTCCTCCTTCTGGTTCCTCTCCAGCTGGCTGTGGGGTTGGGGTGTTGAGGGAGCCAGGGCTGTGCTGGGGTGTGTGGTGGTGATGCTGAGCAGGTCTGGGCTGGCAGGAGCTCAGCCCTCCGACACCTCACAGCTGGCCCAGCTCTCCTCCCACCTTCTCCTCTGATTCTTTGGGGAGTTTTGATCTTAGCTCTTTGTTTCGGACCTGCTGGGGTGGGGGGCAAGGGGCACAGAAGAGAAGCCTGCTAGAAGCTCAGGCATGAAAATGCCGAGGTTTCCCTGAATTCCTCTGGCTGCAGGGATTGTGACTATTTTGAAAGCAGACTAGAACAGGGTGAGGAATTAGGACAGCTCGCTTTGTGGACCTTGCAGGAACCTTGGGCTGGCTTTCCAGTAGAAGCTTGCCAGTAGCAGGGTGTGAACATCACCTCAGAGCGTGCCTGAAGTGTTCCCTGGGGATTGATTTCCCTGTCCTGTTCCTAAAGCTCTCCCAGTTCCAAAAAGGCCGATGTGCCCCAGCGGGTCTGCGAGCGGATTTAGGCTCGGCGTGGCACAAAGTTTCTCTGCAGAAGGGGCAGGGCAGGACACAGCTCTGGGCACCTGGAGCTGCATTGCCCGAGGCACAAAGAGGGGAAAAACCTGCTACTGTGGCTTCTGCTGGGCAGCCTGTCCAAACTGAGCGCTTGCCAGCCCAGAGGTGACGTTGTGCTGGCCAAGGCCTCCTCCTGCCGTGCATCCTCCGTGGGGAACAGAGGATTCCTCCTGCAGCTCCCCACCCTGGAAGAGGAGGCCATTTCCCTGCCCTAGAGGCCGAGCTAGCTAATGAGAGCCGAGTTTTCTTGCCGTACCTGTAGCTGTTGATGACTTTTCTGTTTTGAAGTCGGTTCTGTGTCTTGACGTGTCCCTTGCAATATCCCTATCGTTTATATACATGCCGTGTGCCTTATGAAATGCTGGCATCTGGAAAATCCACCCACCGGCGGCCCCGTCGTCCCTGCAACCTTTGACTGCCCGCCCTGGGGGGGTGAGTGCAGAGGAGCCAGCAGAGCAGTAAGCGCAGCAGGAGCGTGGAAGATGACAAGGAAGGTCACCTGGTGTGCAGGATCGGCGATTGGCTTCAAGAGCGATGTACAGCCACCTTTCGTAAAACTTTACCTCTACTTTTACCCCGGGTTAGCCCAGAGCTCTCTGGCCTCTACTGGAGGGGTCTCTGGTGGTTCATTTACTGAGCATAACTTGCCTGAGGCAGAGGCTTGAGTTGTAAAGAGTGTAGCGGTGACAGACGGTTGTTTTGGTTGCTCTGAGGTTTTGTTGGTGTGAGGTGGCAGGAGCCCAGCTCTGCCCCGGCCCCCCGGGCTCACACCCGCTCCTGTTTTCTCTCCTAGATGAAATCGTGGGCAGCCTCGGTGAAGGCACTTTTGGGAAGGTGGTGGAGTGTGTGGACCACGCCAGGTGGGCTCCTTTCCCTGCATCTGGCCCTCAGTGCCACACCCCCACAGGTGGCAGTTCCCCCTGGGCTCACGGGTGTGAGTTTGTCACCTTCCATGTGTCACTGCCCTCCTCAGAGCGAGGGAAAGGGAAAGCTCCAGAATTTACAGGCTGGTGTGTTAAGGGAAGCATTCCCTCCTTCTCCTCCTTCTCCTCCTTCTCCTCCTTCCCCTTCTCGTCTTCTCTCTCCTTGTCTGTTCTTAGAATAGAGTATCAGAATATTTTAATATTCTAGAATGAAATAGAATTTTCAACTATTCTAATATTCTAGGAATGGAATGGAATAGCGTAGCATAGAATAGAATAGAATAGAATAGAATAGAATAGAATAGAATAGAATAGAATAGAATGGAATGGAATGGAATGGAATGGAATGGAATGGAATGGAGGAATATCCTGATCAGGAAGGGACCCCAAGAGAAAAGTGGTGCAGTGTGTGGACCATGCCAGGTGGGCTCCTTTCCCTGACCAGAATTTACAGGCTGGTGTGTTAAGGGAAGCATTCCATTCCATTCCATTCCATTCCATTCCATTCCATTCCATTCCATTCCATTTGTAGAACTGAATATTAGAATATTGTAATAGTCTAAGAATATTCTAATATTCTATTCTTAGAATAGAATAGAGGAACATAGGATATATTTTATATATATATATATATAAAATAGAGGAATAGAATAGTGGAATATCCTGAGCTGGAAGGGACCCACACCAATCATCCAAGTGCAGCTCCTGGCCCTGCATGACACCCCAGCAATCCCACCCTGTGCACTCCTCAGGGCATTGTCCTGGATCTCTGGCAGCCTTGGGGCCGTGCCCATCCCCTGGAGCACCTGCTCAGTGCCCAGCACCCTCTGGGGAAGAGCTTCTGCCTGATCTGCAGCTTCTCCCTGATCTGACACCCAGCCTGACCCTCTGAGGCCCAGCCCCACCATGGAAGGCTGTTCTGCAGGGAGTTCCTGCTGAGGGGTGGCCCCTGTGACCTCCTGATCTGCCAGGGCACCTCTCCATTGTCCCCTGTCACCTCCCCCGTGGTTACATCTGACCCCTGCGCCCTTCTGGCCCCGAGCCCTGGGCTCAGTTTGCTGCAGGGCTCTGCTGCCTCTGGGGTCACACAGAGCTGTGTCAGGAGTGTCCCTTGGGAGTAACAGCCAGCAGTGACCTTCCACTAATTGGCAGTGCCAATTAGCCACTGCCCAAGCAGCAAGGAGGGCTGGCAGAGCTTTACTGGGACAAGTGATGCCTGGATGTGCCTCTCCCCGTGGGCTGAGCACACAGCTCTGTCCCTGACTCCATCCCTGTGTCTCCTCCCTCGCAGAGGCAAGTCCCAGGTGGCACTGAAGATCATAAAGAACGTTGGGAAGTACAGAGAGGCTGCCAGGCTGGAAATCAACGTCCTGAAGAAAATCAAAGAGAAGGACAAGGAGAACAAGTTGTGAGTTCCCAGTGCCACGTCCTGGCACACAGAGCAGCACGGGGCTGAGGATGGGGTGAGGGAAACTGGCCCCAGGGTGAGGGAAACTGGCCCCATTCCTCGCTGCCCTGTCCCACAGGGGCTGGGGAGCTCGAAGCATCTCCCTGGGTTGCTGTGCTGCAGAGGCAGCTCTGCTCCCCAGCCACTCCTGAAGCGGGCAGAACAGCAGAAGAGCTGTCCTGAGCATCCCCTAAAGGTGCTCAAGCCCTGCCTCTCTCTCCCTGCACAGCCTGTGCGTCCTCATGTCAGACTGGTTCAACTTCCACGGCCACATGTGCATCGCCTTCGAGCTGCTGGGCAAGAACACCTTCGAGTTCCTGAAGGAGAACAACTTCCAGCCCTACCCCCTGCCACAGATCCGGCACATGGCCTACCAGCTGTGCCATGCCCTGAGATGTGAGTGGTGGTGCTGGGGCTCACAGGGGGGCCAGCATGAGGGAAGAGATGGGAATGTTGAGTCCTTGTTTCAGAGGGCTGATTTATTATTTTATGATATATTATATATTACATGACATTACATTACGTTACAGTATGGTATAGTATGGTATATTATAGTATAATGTATTATAAGGTATTATATCATATGACATGATATATATATATATGATATTATATATATATAATAAATATACTATACTATATACTGTATACTATATAGTATATACTATATACTATATATACTATACTATACTATATATACTATATATAGAGTATATATACTATATACTATATACTATATACTATATACTATATACTATATACTATATACTATATAATATATAATATATATTATAGTATATTGATAATATAATATATATAGTATATATTGAATATATATATTATATGTTTTAATTTAAATATTAAAATAAAATTATATACTAAAACTATAGTAAAAGAATAGAAGACAGGATTTCATCAGAACGCTAGAAATGAAAAGAAAAGGAATGACAATAAAATCTCGGGACTGAGCAGAGTCCCAACACAGCTGGACCTGTGATTGGTCATCAAGTAGAAACAACCACATAAAACCAACCTCAGATCCACCTGTTGCATTCCACAGCAGCAGATAATTGTTGTTTTTATTTTCCTCTGAGGCGTCTCAGGAGAAAAATCCTGTCAAAAGAATTTTTCATAAAATATGTCTGTGACGAGTGACCCCCATGGGCTG